GGAGTCCATCTCCCGCAAACTAGGATTTGAGTCAACTCGATGCCGATTAAGGTTCTTTTCCACTTCAGATATTCTCAGTGACGGTAGGGTTGTGCAGAGTAGTTCCAAACTTGGCGGTGTCGATGTCTGCTCTCTTCGGCGGCGTCGATTCTCCCTTTTTTTGGGTTTGTAACTCGTAGTTAGGATTGAGCCCAAAACGTGGGGTCAATAATTATATCTCCATTCCATTTTTAATGATATTGAAACCCTAAAACATAGATTCGGCCCTTTAAAATCAATATTAAAGGACCTCCATTTTGGGCTCAAAATGAAAGCGAAAGGAAGCCTGTTTCCTTGATCACAATACTAAATATTTTACGTTATGCCAATCAAACACATGCAATTTAAAACATTTAGAAATCAAAGAAAAACGATGATCTTATAGTTTTCATCAATGTCAAAGCATAAGAGAAACTTCAAAATCCAAAAACCCAAAATAAGATAATCAACACAAGCTAGCCATCCAGCGAGTTGCAAAGTTGCAAATTATTAGGATACGATATGATTGTCATACTTAACGAACCACCTAAATCTAACTTAATAAAAATATAGGCATCTCTGTCTCTCTAAATGCCAGCGGTATGTAGGCAGGGCGCGAAGCAGCGGCACTAGTGCCGGTTTCTTTCTTGTTTTTTCACTTTTTGGGTTCCACCGTCGACGGCAAAGTTGCCGATGAGTATCTTCTCGGATGGATCGGAACCCTATGGCCCTCCGGTTGATTTTGACTCGGGCTTTGTAGCTTCATTCAATAAGCTGCTCTCCACTTGGTTTGATACTGCATTACAAAATTTTATTGTAAGGTTTGAAATATCTCATGAATTATCAAGGAATGTATGTAAACATTGATGCCTTGTATGAACAATATATCTTAATCAAGTCATATAAACTACTCCATCATTATTTTGTCGTGTTGTCTGCGAACATCATATATATATATATATATATATATATATATATATATATATATATATATATATATATATACGTATCAAAATAACTATCAATTGATTTAAATTTGACAAAAATATTCTAATTTATTCACAAACAAAAACTTGTCATATTTGGTGTGTTATTCTCATAAGTTGTCATATTTGTCGTGTTATTCTCATACGTCATGTATCTTTTATTTGTTAAATTAATTATCTATCACGTGTTAAATGAATGATTAATAAAACAAATATCAGATAAAAAAATATTAATGTATAAATAGATATCGATCAAATCAAATCAACACTGCATACAAAAATTTACTTTGAGATAATGTGCAAAGGCATTAAATGCACATATGAGGCTTTTTGGGCAGTGTTTTTATCCTTGGGGATGCGAGCCCCACCTGCTTGCACTAAAGGTTTTAGTTTAAATTTTACATATGGCTTGTTATTGTAAAAGAAATTTTACTTTAAATTTAGTGACTAAAATAGAAAAAATGTAACAGATGATTCTCACAATACCAAAATAGGACAAATGTTGTTATGTTCTCTCAATATATGATTTTGCTTACTATCATTGAAGAATTTTAATGTTGCTGGAAGCATTCTTTTTTACTAGTTAAGTAAATGGTGTTTCAAGGTTTTATTTTATGTGCTCCAATAATCATATAAAAGAGGTATTTTTCTAATATGGTTTTAAATTTATTATCATTGAGTTTAACTATATATTTAAAATTAAAATAGGATAATATAGCACTTCGAAATTTGATCTTAAAGTTCTGACTAAATAAATCAAACTTTAGAATATTTAGCTTTTGAATTTGGAACTCGATTGCAAGAAATACGAAGTTAAAAAGGTAAAATAGACTGAAAATCTGACTTTTTGAGAACCAAATTGAATAATTTATAAATCTGGTCACCAACATGTAATCATTGGAAGAAAATTTGTAATATTTTCGTAAATTCTGGGAGATTCAGGGATTTTTGGTGTAATTAACCCATTTCTCTTGCCTTGATAATATGAAAAATGGCAAAAAGGCCTTTGTTTACATGCATGACAAGCTCGAACACATGCCCTCCGCATTATTAGCCGTCTCTTTCGACATATAAAATACGAATAACTATGCCAATGTATGGAACCACTTTTTTTAAAGTGTAACCCTAAGTTTGGGGTTTATAAACCCCTTTTCCGGTATGTGGAGATTTGTTCCCTCTATTTTTTTCCCTTTCAAATTTCTCTCTTAAACTTCTTGTCTCTCGTTTTTCACTTCGTCGGAGTCTCATCAGCATCACTGTGACTCTCACCGCCACCGTCATCATTTTCCTTCTGTCGACCCGATAAAAACCTTGTCTTCACTTTCCTAATTGCTTAGTATCTTAAATGGCATGATTTTAGAAAAAGATGACATCTCGACTTCTAATAATTTATAACTACAAGGATGACAAATCCAACTTTATTCATGGTGCATAGTGCATACATTTCTTTTTATGCTATTTTTGGACTAAAAACACAAACTTTGTCACATCTAAAACATAAAAGATAAACCAACTTTATTCACAGTGCATAGTGCATACATTTCTTTTTATGTTACTTTTGGACTAAAGACAAACTTTGTCACATTCAAAACTCGAAAGATAATCCCAGTAGCCTTGATAATTGAGATATGAAGGAAGGGAGGGCAGACCATCCAATGGCAGTCACCGGCTTCCCATCAGACACACACCCTTTAGATTCTTCAACGTCTCCTCCACCCATCTTCACCATTACCTTCATTCCATGGCCGCATGCACATCTCTTCCACTGATTTACACGATTCATTAATGTTCAAAACCCATATATATGTATACATATATGTAATTAATCAACAAGGTATTGTATAAACAAATAGTGAATTAGTGAGAAATCGCCTTTAGAACACCAGCAACAGCTAGGAGCCATTGCCCTTGCCCAATACCAGCAAGGGCCCCGTTTTTCTCGGCGAATTCCTTTACTAGATTGACTGCATTGTCGTTCATTACGAGCAACTTGGGAGACCTCCCCCGGCACGACAATGCAATCATAGTCATAAACACTGATATCATTCCAATTGGCTGCGATAAACAGGTTATGACCACGTTTCTCGCTGAAAACTTGGGCTCCTTCGTCGTCGTGGTAGCAGTGACACAGGTTTCTCCTTTTTTCCTTCTCGGGGTAGCTGTATCGACCTTGCAGCCTAATGCTTGGGCGCACGGAATGGGACATTGAATTCGTAATCTTTTACATAGTCCATTGGAAAGCACAAAATACAAGAGGGTCGTGATTAATTTTATCAGTGTAACTATCTATATTCCTAGTGCAAAGGGCTTATCTTACCCCACATAGGAAAGCACCGAGTTAGTCTTGGTTGCATGAACTCGGGCTCCCATGGATTCAAACAAAGTTTTGAGATATTCAGCGTACGCCGGCCATCCTATTGAACTCAATATGTTTCCATCTTTGAGACAAGCAGTAATGTCAAAACCTGATGTGGTATTTCGTTGCTCCCACCAAATACTACCGGCCAGTTCAATCACTGGTTTCATGCTTGCAAATGCAGTGCATTTCTTGCCTTTCAAAAGCCCCGCCGCCGCCAGAAGGAGTTGGCTGTGGCAACTCGTGGCAATAGGCGAATTGGCAAACCCTTTAACAATACCCAAGACCTTATCGTCAACACTGAGAAGTTCGGTGAACCGGCCTCTAGGAATAGTCAGGGCGTCGTAGTATTTGGCCTTCACTTCATCGAAGTTCGAAATCAGCGTAAATAAATAGCCTGGCAATTTTGAGTAAAGCTAGAAAAAAGAAAGAAAGGTTTAGAATTAAGCAGCCATATATGATGATGAAAATAGCGAAGCATTTCTCTTTGTTTTTTTTACCTCAAACCCTAAGAAATCAAGGATGGCAGTGATGCATTATTGACCAGGTAACTTGTTGGGAGAGACACAATCAACTCGAACTCCAAAGGCTTGCGGCACCCAGAAAGGCACCATCACTTCGTAGTTTTCCATGTAGTCTCCATAGATTATCAAAGCATATTTCTCTACAATAGAGCCCATGATCTGCAACTGCAAATCACTGGAAGTGGCAGTGCTACCAAAAACAAGACCCTCTGTGTGTGGTATATATACATATGGATAGATAGATAGATAGATAGATAGATAGATACAATATGTATTTAGAGTTGGAACTACCAAGCCATTGGACTCACGAGCAACAACCCCAACAGCCGAGGCCCCAATGTCGCGTAGTCAAGCTCCGTCAACATTGACAGTGATGGTGTTCGGAAGAGATTTACACCAGTGAATCGGGGACCTGGACTGCGGCAAACTGTGACCAAGAGTGGAGGCTGCTGAATACGTCAATTGCAGGGCCCAGTCGTCGGTTAGAATGTGACAACCTGGTAGGAGCCGACTCTCATGACAGAAGAGATTTCGACGATTCCAAATTCTCCACAGCAGCACAAGGAGATCGGTGATTCTATGATATAGGACGGTGCTCAGAAATAAAACATGAGATTTTAGAATTATGCTAAAAATAAAACAATGATTAAACGTTAAAGACATTTATTAGTATTATGTTAATTTTATTACCCGCAATATTGACTTTTCGTTCAAAAATCAACAGTTGATGATCATTAGATAACTTTAAATAACTCAAAGGACTAGTTTGTAACATTTTATATTTGGATGAGTCAACTAAAATCTCATAGTTTACCTATCCTTTTAATACTTGAGTTACACGTGGCCAAGTAGTCTAGGGGCACATGTTTGGTCAAAGGTGGTAGTGTTGTATGGAATTTTGGGGAAAAAGAGAGGGTAGTTGGGTAAATTGAGGCGAAACTTTTCAAAAAGGTGAAAAATAAGTTTTTTCCCACCTAAAATTAAGCGCCGTTACGTTTTCCGGCACTTAAAGTGAAGTCAAATAAAAAACCCTGCCCCTAATCTGTTGTGTATCATCATCTTCCCTTATTTCCACTGCTCGATCTCCAGCTTCCGAAACTTATCAGGTCTCTTTCCCTTGCCATCACTATTTCTTAAAAATAAAAACCAAATTTGTTTGTTATGTTTTTTCTTTTCTGAATTCATTAACTCGGACAATTTCTTTGACTAGATCTGGTAAACGTTTAGCAGATCTGGATTTTCTTTACTGGTATTTATTAGTTCCATTCTTTTGTACAAATTGGAAATTAAATACTGTGTTTTTTATTTTTTCAGGTGGAGAAAGATGGCAGGAAAAGGTGGAAAGGGGCTTTTGGCGGCGAAAACAACAGCGGCTAATAAGGACAAGGACAAAGATAAGGACAAGAAGCGTCCGGTTTCTCGGTCATCTCGCGCCGGAATTCAGGTATTTCTCATTATACTTGTTGCCTGGTTTCTTACCTTTGATTTAATCCCATCCGTTGTTTCATTTTTCCTTTTGATTTCAGTTCCCGGTGGGTCGTGTCCACCGTCACCTCAAGACTAGGACATCTGCAAATGGAAGAGTTGGTGCCACAGCTGCCGTTTACTTGGCCTCCATCCTGGAGTACCTAACTGCGGAGGTTCTAGAGTTGGCTGGAAATGCGAGCAAGGATCTGAAAGTAAAGAGAATCACTCCAAGACATCTGCAGCTTGCCATTAGGGGTGATGAAGAGCTGGACACCCTTATCAAGGGTACCATTGCTGGAGGTGGTGTCATCCCACACATCCACAAGTCCCTAATCAACAAAACTACCAAGGATTAGGTATTTCTGATTGTAACTAGATGGTATGACTTTTGAGTACTCTTTTTTAATCTATTATCTGTTTAATGACTGCGTTTTATTGTAGGATTCATTTAATGTGTTTAGGACATTTGGTCAGTGACTCAAGTATATATGTTGTAGTTCTCTAGTCTTGTTCCTTTGAGCTTGTGATCTTTGTTGGTTCCCCTAGATGTTTGTATTATTCTAGCAGTGAAGTTTATTGTTTGCTTTTAATTAGTTTTCTATGATATTTATACTAAACCATTACTTTGGACTCAAAACATGGCGGATGTAGGTATGTTTCATGGTGGGTAAATGCTCATTATGGAATTCGAATTTATTTCGGGTTGTTATGTATTTTACTTATGATGTCTTTTTAAAATTTTTATTGTATTCATCTCATATAAAAAAATTATATGGTTGATATACATGAAAAAATATTTTTGGATAAGCTACTTACTCAAAGGATGATAAGAGAAACCAAGTTCCGAAACTTGAGTTCGGTGACTTCATCTTAAAATCCAATGGAAGTACTGAGTAATCACTTTCTTTTGATAGACACAGATATGATAATGAAGTATATAATATGTATTGGAACTCCATTATTATATAGGAACTTGTGTTTTGAGATAAGCTATAATCTTTTTTATACTCAACACTTTGGTCCTGGGGGTTCAAAAAATGCTTCATCTCATTTCTTACGCCCCCAATCTATAGTCATTACGTTTCATTGCCTATATCAATCATCCAGCAAAGTACGACTTGAAGGGAATTATGATTAATTTTAAATGTATGTGTTTAATTTTATGATAAAACACACAAATAGTCCCCCAACTATAGGTATTGTTTTGTTTTGTCTTGTCCATTGATTATTAAAGTCACAAAATAGTCCCTCAAATATAGGAAGTTGTTTTATTGAGTCATTCGACTATTAAAAGTTACAAAATGCTCACTCGACTATTTATTATATTTCGAACTCTTCATTTTCCGATAAAAAATGATCGTATGAACTAGAGGTTAACATGTTGGATGAGGTATGATAAAATTTAATATCATAATCTTAAATGAATATCATATCTCAGCCAATATGTTAACGTCTAGCTCAGATGACTATTATTTTTAATGGAAAATGACAAATTTGGAACATAATAAATAGTCATGTGACCATTTTGTAATTTTTAATAGTTGAGGGACTCATCAAATAGTATCCTACAGACAAGGGACCATTTTTGTACTTTATCCTTAAATTTAAAGATAAAAAATTCGATACATTTATTTAAATCATATGGTATTTTTATTTTTAAAAAGTTATTGAATTTAAACTTAATTTATGATCAACCCCAGGTCCCCAGCCCTCTGCCATCAAGTTATCAGGCTAAATTGCTCAACCAAAGGATGTGTTTTCTATTGTTGGGCCAATAAGGGGTCTGTCCAACCTTAAAACTGAAAATGGGCATTTTATAAGCCGAGGATGGAAAGCCCACTGGCCACTGTGCGTCGACCGGCTCCTGGAATTAGAATGAAGGGCGGAGAAATAGGATAAGCATGAGACTCAAATATGATGAGTCTTAATTTGATCTGATTTTATTGGTTGATTTTCTTTACATGAGTTTAAGTTAGTCGGGTTAAGTTTTTTAGAATATAATTTGTCTTTCGTTCGAGTTTAGGTATAGATTGAAAATATCTGACCCAACCTGATTCGAACAATAATATAATTATACTCTATATATTTAAAGATAATTACAATGATATCCCTCTATATTTTTTTTTTCAATTATATCTCTATTTTATCGAATAAAATTTAAAACTTATATATATATATATATATATCATATTTTACCTCAAAATACAAATTAAGTTTCGGTTGAATGAGGACACTTTAAACTCAGATTGGACAGAATTTCAAATAAAAATATAGATTTTTCATTTTTTTACTCTTAACTTTGACTTTGATATGTAATTTTTGACTAGTTGGCCAAATCTCTCATAAACCGATGGACAACACACCTGATAATTCCGATGCTGAGTCAGCATTCCCTTCTTTGTGTAATCAAAGCTGTTGCAGCTGAATCTCTTGCAGAATGATTTTGCACCAAAAAAAAATGGTGTCTTCTTGTGGCCCTTCATTAAATTAATCTCTTATTGTCCTGAAACAAGTTCATAGAATTATAGTCAGGTAAAATATGGAAATAACTTTGGGAAGGGGCAGAATGAAGACAAGAACGATCCGTTTAGAAGCTCAAATCTGCAGTAGATGTATCTGATATACAAATTTCATCTGGATCGGAAAAAGTAAATTATACAAAGCCACCTAAAATCTTGAGTAGTGCACACTGTTAAGATAACAACTAACTAAGCTGTAACATTTTAACATGTCTTGGCAACAAATGCTAGATTGCCTCAAATCATAGAATCTGGCATGTGCAACCTTTGGAGTCTGGGGGCCCTTCAAACCATCTATCCCATGATGGGTTTATAGGACCATGCGTTCTGTGATCAGAATAAACACAAGCATTAGAGGGAAAAAACAACTTTATCTAAAACAAAAGGTACAAAATAATTCAAGTTGTTTGTAATTACACTGAGAGGGGAAAAGGAGAGATTAATTCCAATCGAACCGGTTACCATACAATTTTTGTGAGATAAACTTATCATGTAATGATAAATGATAATAGTTTATATTCCAGTTTCCCCTTGCTCCTTCCCCTCCTACTCTCTACTTTTGCAACTTCATTGGAAAGAGAACTTAATTCTTATACTTACTCCTCAGACACTGTCGAAACATTGTCAGTTCTCTCGAGCTCTTCCATCTCGTCCTGGAAAAAGAAGAATACATGAAAAGAGAAAGAATAAGACATACTAAACTGCAAAATGGTACATTTTCAGCACACAGCAACTTTTTGAATCACTAAAGTATGACATTCCTCAAAGTAAAACAAATCTTGTTGATTCAAGTACTAAAATCATGATCTGCCTAAGAAAGCAGTAAAGATAGGCAAAAATGGGACGCGAAAAAGCTACATCTGTGAGCTGAAGACCAAGAACTCCATCCGTACCAAATCGGCTAGTCTATGAAGTGCGAATGGATAAGATAACTTGAGGAATATAGCATGTTGACGAAAACGGGTAAAGAAAACAAAAGAACACGAGAATTTTACGAGGTTCGGCAATGTGCTTACGTCCTCGGTGCCTAGGCGGCGCTAGAAGTTTTTATTCAATGATATTTTAGGTCTAGGTTACATCTCTATTTATAATAGAAAACCCTGGTACATAATTACAAAATCAACCATGTACCGTACCGCGGGGGCTACGCCCCCGCACCCCCAACCCACATAATTTGTAACCCCACAACGAGACTTTCTTTGTAAGGACAGTTGATGTTCGCTTCGCTCACTCCGCTCCATCTCCTGTCCTCTTTACTGGTATATTTATGAGCCATACCTAACAAATCTCCACCTTGGCGAATATCCTACCCCTTGGAAACTTCAATGTGGGTTGGGTTACCTTGCTTCTTAACAACTCGAAACATTCAACAAGTCCAAGCAATGCTTGAACTTGTCTGTCGTAACTGGCTTGGTGAACATATCAGCGGCATTCTCATCAGTATGTACCTTCTGAAACAAAACCTCTCCAGATGCAACCAACTCTCTGATCTTGTGGAACCTTACATCAATATGTTTAGTTCTAGCACGATACCTGATTCTTAGCCAAGTGAATAGCACTTTGATTATCACAAAGCAACTGAACTCCACCTTGTTGAACACCCAACTCCTTCACTAAACCATAAGCCATAAAGCTTCTTTTGCAGCTTCAGCCGCTGCCATGTATTCAGCTTCAGTTGTAGATAGTGCCACGACAGATTGAACAGTAGACTTCCAGCAAATAGGCCCTCCACCAAGAGTAAACACATACCCTGTCGTAGATCTTCTATTATCCAAGTCACCTGCATAATCTGAATCCACATATCCTACAACCAAAGGATTATCCCGCTGACTCCCAAAAACAATTCCATGTCCCACAGTACCCTTTAAGTACCGAAAGATCCACTTGACTGCATCCCAATGTTGCTTACCAGGTTTAGACATGTACTTACAAACTTGACTAACAGCATGAGCTAAATCAGGACGAGTACATACCATCGCATACATCAAGCAGCCAACAGCATTAGAATACGGAACCTTTGCCATATTTTCAGCTTCCTTATCTGTCTTAGGGCACTGTTCTGATGAGAGCTTAAAGTGATTCGCCAATGGAGTGCTAACTGGTTTCGCGCTGCTCATCGCAAACCTTTCTAGCATTTTCTCAACATAACCCCGTTGAGATAGCCGCAGTTTCCTTGAGTCTCTGTCCCTGCAAATTTCCATTCCAAGAATTTTCTTTGCAGCACCTAAATCTTTCATATCAAATTCCTGACTCAATAAAGTTTTCAAACCGATAACATCATCCATGTTCTTCGCAGCAATCAACATATCATCAACATACAGTAATAGAAAAATAAAAGAATCATCATCAAGGCTCTTAACATAGACACAACAATCATACTCACATCGGTTGTAGCCAATCTTGATCATATATGAGTCAAACCGTTTATACCATTGTCTCGGAGACTGTTTCAACCCGTACAAAGATTTCTTCAATCTGCAAACTAAATGCTCGTTTCCAGGTTGAGTGAAACCTTCAGGTTGCCGCATGTAGATCTGCTCCTCTAAATCACCATGCAAAAAAGCAGTTTTAACATCCATCTGCTCTAAATGCAAATCCCAACTAGCCACCAATGCAAGTACTGCTCGGATTGAAGTGTGCCTGACCACAGGAGAAAAGATTTCATCATAATCAACTCCTTTCTGCTGTGAAAAACCCTTCGCTACCAAACGAGCCTTGAACTTCTCCCCCTCTTTTTCTGTTACTACTGGTTTCTTCTTATACACCCATTTGCAACCAATCGGCTTCTTACCCTCAGGAAGGGGAACTAACTCCCATGTGCGATTGTGATTCAAAGACTCCATCTCCTCAACCATGGCTGTCATCCACTAGTCGTTTTCCTGACTAGTAACGGCATCATGAAAAGTAACCGGATCATCACTGCTAACAATAAGTGCAAAAGATACCAAGTCTTCAAAACCCAATCTGTTCGGAGGCTTTATATTCGTCCGTCTCACCCTGTCTCTGGCGAGACTATAATCCTGCAAATCATCCGTAGTGGAACCACCAGAAGTCGGTTGAGAAGTTTCTGGTTTCTCAACTGGAAACTGCTCGAAATCCACCACTGTCGTGTCTTGCTTCTGCTGCAACATGGATTGTTCATCAAAAACGACATCTCTACTAATCACAACTTTCTTCGCAACTGGATCCCAGAACTTGAATCCTTTGACACCTTTCTTGTAACCCAAAAAATGCACTCCTTCGATTTTGCATCAAGTTTGGATCTCTCATCAGTAGGTACATGCACATAAGCAGGACAACCAAAAATCCGTAAGTTATCAAAACTAACATCATGACCAGTCCATACCTCTTCTGCAACTTTCCCAGCCAGCGATGCCCTTGGCGATCTGTTGATAAGGTAACACGCCATGTTAACAGCCTCAGCCCAGAAGTGTTTGGGAAGCCCCGCATTCAACCGCAAACATCTGGCTCTTTCATTCAACGACCTGTTCATTCGTTCCGCAACACCATTCTGTTGTGGTGTCTTGCGCACTGTAAAATGCCTCTGAATCCCATGTTCCTTACAGAATTGTAGGAACTGTGAATCTGTGTACTCCGTACCATTGTCAGACCGCAAACACTTGATTTTTCGTCCTGTTTGGTTTTCTACCTCAGCTTTCCACAGCTTGAACTTCTCAAAACTTCAGATTTCTGTTTCAAAAATACACCCAAACTTTCCATGAAAAATCATCAATAAAAGTAACATAGTACATAGATCCACCCAAAGACGATGTCGTGGAAGGCCCCCATACATCAGAATGCACATAATCAAGAATCCCTTGAGTTGTGTGCTTCGCAGTCTTGAAACGGACTTTAGTCTGTTTACCAAGAACACAATACTTGCAAAAGTCGAGCTTACAGCTTTTGACACCATGCAACAAGTTTTCTTGTGTAATTCTGTCATACCACGTTCACTAAGATGAGCAAGGCGCATATGCCACAATTTTGTCGTATCATCACAGGACTCAACAGAGTGAACTCCACCTGCAACGGTACTCCCTAACAATCTGTAGATATTCCCTGCAGTCATCTTGCCTTTCATCACAGTCAATGCTCCTTTAACAATCCGAATGGTTTCCCTATCCTCGTCAGCCTTAGGGATAAAACCATTCTTGTGCAAAGTGCCCAAGGAAATCAATTCTTCTTCAAGTCTGGGATATGTCGAACACCACTCAACGTCCGAACGGAGCCATCGTGCATCTTAATTCTGACATCACCAATACCAACAATATTGCAACATCGATCATCACCCAAATAAACCGAACCAGAATTAACCGGCCTGTATGTCGAAAACCATTCCCTATTTGGCGTGATGTGATAAGAACATCCAGAATCAAGAATCCAAGCATCCGTCAATTGTGTCGTTGAAATAGAAAGCATATCACCCTCACTGCAATCAGAAGTATCCTCGACCACGTTCACAGACTTGGATGAGCCATCACGCTTCTCATCAGTCTGCTTTTTTCAACTTCGGACAGTCTCGCTTCATATGTCCCACCTGATAATTCCGAGCTGAGTCAGCATTCCCTTCTTTGTGTAATCAAAGCTGTTGCAGCTGAATCTCTTGCAGTGATTTTGCACCCAAAAAAAATGGTGTCTTCTTGTGGCCCTTCATTAATTAATCTCTTATTGTCCTGAAACAAGTTCATAGAATTATAGTCCGTAAAATATGGAAATAACTTTGGGAAGGGGCAGAATGAAGACAAGAACGATCCGTTTAGAAGCTCAAATCTGCAGTAGATGTATCTGATATACAAATTTCATCTGGATCGGAAAAAGTAAATTATACAAAGCCACATAAAATGAGTATGCACACTGTTAAGATAACAACTAACTAAGCTGTAACATTTTAACATGTCTTGGCAAAAATGCTAGATTGCCTCAAATCATAGAATCTGGCATGTGCAACCTTTGGAGCTGGGGGCCCTTCAAAACCCATGATGGGTTTATAGGACCATGCGTTCTGTGATCAGAATAAACACAAGCATTAGAGGAAAAAACACTTTATCTAAAACAAAAGGTACAAAAATAATTCAAGTTGTTGTAATTACACTGGGAGTAGTGGATCTGGTCTTGTCTCCAAGCTAAGCAGCAACCTGAGGGGGAAAAGGAGAGATTAATTCCAATCGAACCAGTTACCATACAATTTTTGTGAGATAAACTTATCATGTAATGATAAATGATAATAGTTTATATTCCAGTTTCCCCTTGCTCCTTCCCCTCCTACTACTCTACTTTTGCAACTTCATTGGAAAGAGAACTTAATTCTTATACTTACTCCTCAGACACTGTCGAAACATTGTCAGTTCTCTCGAGCTCTTCCATCTCGTCCTGGAAAAAGAAGAATACATGAAAAGAGAAAGAATAAGACATACTAAACTGCAAAATGGTACATTTTCAGCACACAGCAACTTTTTGAATCACTAAAGTATGACATTCCTCAAAGTAAAACAAATCTTGTTGATTCAAGTACTAAAATCATGATCTGCCTAAGAAGCAGTAAGATAGGCAAAAATGGGACGCGAAAAAGCTACATCTGTGAGCTGAAGACCAAGAACTCCATCCGTACCAATCGGCTAGTCTATGAAGTGCGAATGGATAAGATAACTTGAGGAATATAGCAGCACTCTATATAGGTTTTATGCATTGCTAAAAGCTTGTTTATTTAACTGATGCTAGGCATATGACTAATCAAGGTGAGGCTTAGCAAGAGCAGCAAGTCAAATACTAATGCAAAAAGCTCTTTGCCATAACACAGGGATCCAACCAGCCCTTTCAATGCAGCGTATCGCCTTAATTCTTCAAAATGAAATATGAGCAGCAATCAAGACTACAAAGTTCATCTTATGGTGCCAAAAACACTAACTCAAAACTATTCATCACTGAATTCAAGAGAAAAGGAAAAAGAAAAAGTTTAGCAACATCCAGAACTTCATCCTGCCTCCAATAAAGCCTTCCTAAACATCAGTATAACCTGATGAAGATCATATCTGCAACATCCCTGGCAGATTTTTGCAAGTTCAAGAAAATTACAGTTCTGCGAAAAAAAAGTTAATAGTACAAAAAAGCATCCAAAAAAAAAAAAGATCAGAAGCTATTGAATTGGGATCTCATGTAAGTGGTAAGAGAACTTAACCACTTATGGTACTAATTGCAAGGTAGGAGACTTGGATCCCACAATGAAAGTACTTAAAGGTCATATGGAGTTGAACACTTGCACCTTGTAGCAGACTTGAGCGTATAGTATTTTATTGTGAAGTTTATTTGGACTTCGACTCTACCATGAACTATTTTCCTCCCATTAAATTGAGGAAACCAGAATATAAGTGGAAAAGGAAAAATGAAAAAGAAAAAGCTAACCTGGAGAAGCCTGGATTCTTGTTCGACACGCTTGAGTTGAGCTAGAATCCGATGCTTCCCTCTGGTATCAGCTGCAGAAGCAGATGGTTTCTGTTCATCCGCTGACGAAGCCGTTTCTGACTCCATCGCTACTCACCTGACCCAGCTTGAGAGATTCAAAATCAATGCCGCTTGCTCATTTCATTTCGAATTTCAATTGCACTAAAGCAAAGGGCAAGCAACTCCTTTATATCTCCAGATCTGTTAGTTGTTACAAAGCTGTGATCTTTTAATTGCTTCCTCTCTGTTTTTATTATTACCTTTCGGAAACGGAAACGGAAACGGAAACGAGTAAACGACTAAACGACTTTTCTTCCTTAGGAAAGCTGTTCTGATTTCCTAAAAAAAAACTATAAATAAAATATATTTCCCTTTCCTTTTCTTAGTCCTAGAAACCCACTTTAATAATTCAATCATTCCTATTCCCCCCTAATACCCAAACATTGAACTATGCTTTCTATTGTATGAACACGTCGAGAAATCGTAGTAGGCGCCTAGGCGGCCAACCCAGAAAGATTCCCTTTCGTTGTTTGTTCATGATAGGCAAAATGGGTCCATCTCTGTTTGGCAAATTCCTCTTTCACTGCTGTCTATTTCTATTATCCTCTGCATTCAGCCCCTTTTTTCATTCCCTTCGTCTCACTCTCTTGTCTATCTCAATAGCCAACCCATTCATTTTTTTCCTTCTGTTTTCACCATCATCGCCGTGCATGAGGTAGCTTTATCGTAAATTCTTTAGTACTTACATGATAATGCAATAAATGCTAATGGAGGAATATAACGGATGATACCGTGGAGGACTTAGAGTAACTATGCGTAATGTTATTCAGTTATTCTAATAGTTGTTTCGAGATATTTAAAGGTTCGCAACTCATTCGTATACTTTAAACGAGTTGATTAACTGAGTATATATTTCTGATGCAATTGCATATGCGACTCGAGTCACATCCTATATTGAATCATTCAAGGGCTAGTAAATTAGAGGGATGTGATTCTTGTGATGCACATGTAGAGATGTACACATCTTGAAATTAATCGAATTAATTGATTAAATTGAATTAGTTCGGTTAAAGAATGGTATTTTTTTAATATTCGATCAACGGTTAATTCGGTTCGAAATTAATTAATTAATTATTAACAAAATTAACTAAAAATATAACATATTAATATATTATATAAAATAAATACATTTTAAACTCAAACTCATAATAATTAAGACTTAACTGTTTTTAACCACACTAGACTCGTCAATTATCAAGACCTAATTAAATTTTAACTCAAACAATATATATATATATATATTAAACTCAAATTAATCTAACTAAAAAATTTATAAAAAAATTAGTTAATTCGACCGATGACCGAACTAACCAAACTTTGTTCAATATGATTAATATTTTCAATATATAATTCAATTCAATTAATGATTAAAGAAAAAATTAATTAATTCGATCAATGGAAATTTAATCGATTCGGTGATTGTATTGAACACCTCTATACACATGACCATGGACTACATCACGATGTCGGTTTGAGTTTCAAGCTACATGATCATAGATATAAGAGAAAACTACTCCAAATACCGTTAATTTATTTATACTATCACTAACGATACGATAACATAACTGTCACACCAAAACAACGTACTTTTACTTAATAAAAATTTAAAGATTGTATTTAGGGATTTGAACTTCAAATCTTTGAAAAAATATTAAAATCTAACTATTCAATCACTAACAACCAGTTGGTTTAGTGGGATGAGACATTAGATCCTTTAAACAAGGTCGAGTGTTCAAATCTTGATGTTTGCAAATAGAGCAAATTACATTAGGAGAGTTGCTATTGCCTCTGCAATTCCCTACCTAGATTAGTCGATCAATAGATTGAATATCAATAGTTATACAAAAAAAATCTACCTACTCAATCAACTTCAGCTGATTTGCATTTCTTATTTCTGAACGTTTTAGCCATTAATTTCTAATCACAGACATAAACACAGAATTCAAGCAAAGTAACAAACAAACAAAAAATTACAGGAAAAAAATGTCTTAGAATCCACTAGCACAAAGTTTTCAATGGCTTCTTGCCTTCCTCCATGCTCAGGGGAGCTGACAGATTCACTTTCATCAGAGGGGTAACCCCAAAAAGGACTGATTTTTTAGGGTCAAATTTTCACGGGAAACACTTATCCAATTTGGGTTTTATCTCTAGTGCTAGGGTCTCCAGGCCAGTAACAACGATGGCCCCAAATGCAGCTTCACAACCAAGATTCATACAACACAAAAAGGAGGCTTTTTGGTTCTACAGGTTCCTCTCAATTATATATGATTGTGTGATAAACCCTGGTCATTAGATAGAAGATATGAGGGATGATGCACTTGAGCCGACTGATCTCAACTATTGGATATATGAACTGCAAACTACACCGTTAGCATTGACTGAAAATATAAACAGTAATTAAAAGGAACTGATTCGTAAACCGTCGTGGTATAACCACTGCCTTAGAAACGAATTCGCTCCGATGTGTGTAATCGCTGCAGTAGGTGGACTGTCCCCCGAGGTTAACACGCTTCGAATTCCGTACACCCGAAATCGGAGTAGACTGCGGTGGTTGCTCTTCTTATCGGAAAGCATAGAAAGAATAATTGCAGAAAACACTTTGAGAGTGAATTGTGAATGATGAGAGTGAGTTGAGAAGTTGAATATAACCCTCTATTTATAGGCTAGAAATAGGGTTAAAATCGTCCATAAAATTTTTAGGATTAAATCTCTTCTTTTGTAACAGCTGAAACGTCTAGATGAACATGACTCAAAAATAGTCCAGGTTCATTGCATCATTGTTCAGCTATTATAACTCCGAAATTATATCATGTAACCATGGAATTAAATCAAATAACTCATGTAACTCCTGATATTAACAACTTGTCTCCTCTGTACAAAGCTGGAAATCAATCCAGATACATCTTAACGTTTTTGATTAATTTAGGAAAAGCTGTTTAATTTCTGATAACTCTCATAAACCAGCTGTTATCATTTGAAATTAAGCAGTCCTCAGCACCTATAAATATCAGTTGAAATCTTTCACATTTTTCCATTTGTTTCTTTTCAAAGAAAAAATCCTCAAGAATTTTCTCTAAAAATAATATCCGCGCGGACATGTCGAAGACACGTATTACTACGACCACGACCACGAGCCGAGCCGAGCCGTGTCGAGCCAAGATGGACGACGGCGGCGGCGGTGCTCGAGAGTCCCCCTTGTCTCTTTCACTCAACAGGAAGTAGTAATTTCATACTATAAATACCATTCCCAATAGTGTTTCCAATACTATGTGGGATTGAGCATTACCAACATTCCCCAAATGCGAAAGAATTCTTCTGAAACTCGAAAACAAACTTTCCAGAAGAGCAATAGCGAGATTACTTGCTTATGCACTAGTGAACGTAACTGGAACTAGTACATAATGATGATGAGCAATCCTTCTTAGATAAGTGAAACTAGTCTGGAACTTTCTAAGATGGGGGTAAACTCATAACACATAACTAACCTTCATCCACCTGAGTCATCGATGTAAGATATATATATACAAAAGTATATATTTGGCCATCTTACCTCAGGATTCTAGTAAGTGGCTAGAAAAATGGCCCAACATTTTCATAGAAGGCGGCTAACCCTTCTCACTTACATAGTTTATTTCATCAAGTTTATCTCAACATAAACCACCCTTAAAAGGGATATGAAATAATTAAGAGCTTTATAATAGCTCAACCTCACAAAGGGTATGGTGACTTTCTTCAAGTTCATTATAAATGAACCACCCAAACTCTGGGCTAAGAAGTCATTAAGAATAAATATTCAACCTCATTTATTGGTAATTCAATAAGTCCTTCTCACTAGAACCATCCAAATACTTGGATTTGAGTTTATTAAGAGTTTAACAAACTCAACCTTCTGTCGGTAAGTTCATCATTTCCTACCCACTCACTCTGGGTTATGAACTTATTAAGAATAGATATTCAACCAAAATCGGTAAATTCATCAAGTCTTTCTCACTAAGACCACCCAAAGCCTGGGCTATGAATTTATTAAGAGCAGTTAAGCTCATCCTGGGCATGCACATTATTCATCATAGGGATAGGCAGTAGGATGTGCACTATGAGTCTTTCCATGGTTTCGTTTGACCACATGGAACTTAGATAACTAAGTTGGGTATCCACCATGAATTCCTCAACCAATGGGCTTTAGACCCATCCCCCTCGACGAATCTAGGACCAGTTTCCGACTTAACCCTTTGGTAAGTGGATCTGCTAGGTTCCTTTCCGACTTCATACACTAAAGAGAGCACTCCATTCTTTATTAAGTGTCTAACATATTCATGTCTTATGCTAATGTGTATTTTCTTACCATTGTAAGCTTGGTTCTTAGCCATACATATCGCAGCTTGTGAATCACACAATAATGAAACCGGAGGAGTCGGTCTTCCCCACAACGGAATATCTGCTAACAAGCTTCTGAGCCACTCGGCTTCTTGCCCAGCTAGGTCAAGAGCTAAACTCTGACTCCATGGTAGAACGAGTAATACAAGTATGCTTTGATGACTTCCAGATTGCTGCTCCCCCAAAGTAAAAACATACCCGCTCGTAGAGCTTACCTCATCATTATCAGAAACCCACTTGGCATCACAATATCCTTCCAGTACCACAGGAAAGCCAACGAACTCAAGTTTCCAATCCAAAGTACCCTTAAGATACTTCAGTAAGCGTTTAAGAGCAATCCAGTGTTCACCACTCGGATTATGAGTATATCTACTCAGTCTACTCACAGAATAAGCAATATCAGGCCGAGTATAGTTCATTAAGAACATTAAGCTTCCGATTAATTTAGCATATTCAGTTTGGGAAACGCTACATCCTTTATTCTTAACAAGATGCATGCTAGGGTCATAAGGAGTTCGAACAAGGACGCCATCAAAACTGTTAAATTTCTTTAGCACTTTCTCTATATAATGTGCTTGACTTAAAGAAAATCCCTTTTCAGTTTTGGTAACTTGACTCCTAAGATTACATCAACTTCTCCCAAATCTGTCATCTCAAACTTAGTGGACAAGAAACTCTTAACTTTGTTAATGGACTCGATGTTAGAACTGAAAATCAACATGTCATCAACATACAGGCTTATGATGACACATTTAGTGTCAAACATCTTCGAATACACACAAGCATCCGAACCATTCACAACAAAACCAAAACTAAGAATAGTTTATTGGAATTTCTCATACCACTGTTTAGGACCTGCTTAAGTCCATAAGTGACTTTTTAAGTCTACAGACTTTCCCTTCCATACCAGGTGCTTCAAAACCTAGTGGCTGCTCCATGCAAATCTCCTCATCTAGATCCCCATTCAAGAAAGCAGTCTTAACATCCATTTGATGTACCTGTAACTTATGAATAGAGGCTAGCGCAAATAATGCACGAATCGTTGAGATTTTCGTAACTGGAGAGTATATCAAAGTAGTCTAAACCAAACCTTTGAGTAAACCTTTTGACGAATAACCTTGCCTTATACCGCTGAATCAAACCATCTGGCCTTAGTTTCTTCTGAAGACCCTTTGTTGGAGATTGGTTTGAATCCCTTAGGCAAGTCAACTAATTCCCAAGTATGATTAGACATTATCGATCTAGTTCATCATTAACAGCGCTTTTCCAAAAACTAGCATCGATAGACCTTATAGCTTCTTCAAAAGTTTTAGGATCCTCATCTAATAAGAAAATTTGAGCTATAGGATCTGAAATGGAGTCTAAATCATTTATCTTAGAAATAAATGAAGTAATAAAGTCTGGTCCAAAAGAGGTTTCAACTCTTGCCTTTTACTTCTTCTAGGCTCAAAATCAATTTGTTCAGAAGACCTAGCAGGATTACTAGAAGAAGTTGATGGAATATATTCTTTTGTGTTTCGGCATTAATCTTGGTTCCTTTAAAGGAAAGGTATTTTTAAAGAAAACAGCATCTCTTGACTCACAAATAGAATAATCTTGTAAAAGCATGAATCTGTATGCAACACTATTCGTAGCATACCCTAAAACACTGCATCAACGGTTTTAGGTCCAATGGTGGACTTCTTAAAGTCTGGCAAACCCACTTTAGCCAGACACCCCCACACTTTCAAATATTATAATTAGGAGCGTATCCTTTTCACAATTCATATGGGGTAGAATCTAATTTCTTATAAGGAACTCGGTTCAAGATATGAGTTGACGATAGAATGGATTTCCCCACATGTTATCATAACCCTGAACTTAGTAAAGAATTCATCATCTCTTTTAAAGTTCTATTTTTCCTTTCGGCTATACCATTCTGTTGAGGAAAAAAAGGGGCTGAAGTTTCATGAATTATGCCATTCTTTTCACAAATATCTTTTAAGAAATTAGATCCATATTCACCACCTCTATCAGATCTAACCCGTTTGATTCTCCTATCTGACTGATTTTCAACTTCTGCCTTAAATAAGAAAGAAGTTTTCAGCTTCATCTTTGTCCTTAGGAGATAAACTTTTGTATATCTTGAATAATCATCTACAAAATTTATGTAGTAGTGTTTTCCTCCTTTACTTTCAGTGTTTCTAAAATCTGCTAGATCGGTATGAATAAGTTCTAACAGCTCAGTCTTTCTATTAGAAACAATCTTAAAGTGAGGTCTAGTATGCTTAGCTTATACACAAATTTCACATTTGTTAAAGCTAGTTGTGTCTAGTTTAGGCAGAACATTCATATTTATCAATTTCTTTAAAGCATGAATATTCGTGTCCTAATCTAGCATGTCACATATCAATGGATTCAACAATAAGTAGAAGTGGTAGCTTTATTTTTATTAAATTGAGTTTCTATGACATAAGCCATTGCTTAAAAACCCTTTCCCAACATAATCACCATTTCGGGAAAGTACAAGTTTATCTGCCTCAAAAACTAACTTAATGCTTGCCTTATTCAGAAGCCCACCACTTATCAAATTTCTACGCAAGGCAGGTACAACAGAACATTATTTAAAGCCAGAGTTTTACCATAGGCCAGCTTGAGTAAAACCTTGCCTTTACCTAGCACTTCAGAGCTGCTAGAGTTCCCCATGTACACACGTTCCCCTTTGTTCCCATCCTCGAATTCCGTGAAAAAACTCATTCCTTGCGCAGAAATGCGTTGAAGCGCCAGTGTCAACAACCCATTCCGAACTGTTTCCACCAGATTAACTTCTGAGACCACCGCAGCAATGATCTCATCATCTTCTTCTATAATGTGCATCCGTGGCTTGTCATTCTAGCGATCTGAGCGGTGTTGGCATTGGTAAGCTTTGTGGCCAGGTAAACCGTAGACATAACACTTGAGCGTCTTTCCTTCAGGTTTGGCCTTTCCTGACTTTTTGAAGTTGGCAGCCTTCTGAGGTTTCGTCTTCTTGTCTTGATTCCCGTTTCATGATCTTCTTAAATTTAGACTCAACCAGGTTAGCTCTAAAAGATAAATTACTCATAGAATTAGTAAGCTTATCTTTTAAACGGTTGGCTTCTTCAATCTTCATATGGCCCACGAGCTCTTCAAGTGAAATTTCTCTCTTCTTATGCTTAAGAGAGTTACGGTAGTCGGACCAGGACTTGGGCAGCTTCTCAATGAGAATATTGGCTTGTAGCACCTCGCACATTTGCATCCTTCGGCGATGATGGCAGCGACTAGGTTCTCATAGTCATGGACTTGATCCATTATCGACTTGTCATCAGTCATTTGGAATTTGAGCCATTCGCCGACAACGTACTTCTTGATTCCAGCATCGTCCGCACCATACTTTTTATCGAGAGTATCCCATATTGTCTTGGCACTCCTTTCTCTAAGGACATATCAAATAATTTATTTGACATGTGACTGAGCAGATGTCCTCGCACCATTTTGTTGCCTTTCCTACTGATTATGCTGATAGATATGTCTCTGCTGGCAGGTAAGTTTTCCCAAACTCTTCTGGTGTTATAGGGAACTATTTGTCTGTTTGAAATGAACAACATATGTCTTCACAATAAGATGTAACTTCTAATTTCTTATGGTTGGATTTGCCTTTGTTAATTGTCATGCATGATGGTAAAATTGGCCAGTTGGCATGGATGATATGGAGGAGATGATAACTTGGTTATGTTTTTTCAGCATAGAGTACTGGCCAGACCCACAGCGTGGCATCAAGGAAGCATACAGGGTGTTGAAACTAGGAGGAAAAGCTTGTCTAATTGGTCCTGTGTACCCTACTTTTTGGTTGTCTTGTTTCTTTGCGGATGTTAGAATGCTTTTCCCAAGGAGGAAGAGTACATTGAGTGGTTTGAAAAGGCTGGATTTAAGGATGTCCAACTCAAAAGGATTGGCCCTAAATGGTAATGAGGACTCTTGTACATGATCAAACCACTTATTCAAACCCTTATCCTACATCATGGGGTGCTCCGTAACCTGTGTTAAACCTGCATATGGGGACTCTCCTTTGCAGGTAATCACTTATTCACTTTTGTATGTGATCACTGTCTCACTGCAGTATCATGTATCTCATGCATCCAATGTTATGAGCAAAGGATTTAATTCTAGGATAAGGGTATTGTACATAGGTTCCCTCAGATTTTGTTCGATACAATTAATTGTAATCATAAGCTACGATTACACGTCGGAACAGCCTCGATTTCATTGTCTGCCAGATTGTTGAATGTGGTTATGCCTTTGCTGTTGCCAGCATTAATTCTCAACCACCGCCCACATTTTATCGTGTTACTGAACTCATCCGTTTTTATTTGTCGTTCATTTCAACTCGGGCCGAAGACGGAGGATGTATCGAAGCCGGTAAACCCATTTACATTTCTCTTACGCTTTGTACTGGGTACCATGGCAGCAACGTATTATGTATTGGTCCCTATCTATACGTGGTTGAAGGACCAAGTCGTACCAGAAGGTCAACCAATCTAAACAGCCAGCGACCAGGGCTACTGCCACCCCTCCAAGCTGCATATATTTCTTTATATCATATGTAATGTATGACCATCTTGTAGCTATGATAGTTTTTTGTGTTTTCTTAACAACCGCTATCAGATCTATTAATCGATTAATTCGAATCGAGTACTATAAAGGTCTATTATGTACTTATCCTCGTAATTTAATTTGCTCCATTCATAACGTTAAGATCCGATTAAACCAACTGATTGTTGTCGGTAATAAATTATATTTTAACAAGGATTTGCATCCGTGTGAAACCTGAATCATATGCCAAGAAAAAAACTTCATGTTACAATAATCTCTATGACCAGAATTAGTTGAATTCCTTTCTTTCCTTTTGACTTTTAAATGTAATTTAGAATAATTGAATAAACAAATGAAAAGAGTCGGGTATTGAATAAGATTTTCATATGTATTGTACTCAATTAATCAAAGATTACAAAGTCAATCCACTCGAATTAAAAATAATACTAATTAAGATAAAGTCAGGGTGTAGCTGACTTTTTAGAGGGAATGCCAAGCCGAGCACAAAGATTTTTCATTGAGATTTTAAACCTTTTTCTGGGAGTTTATTCAAGGCTCCATTAATTTTCTAGAAAATTTAATGCTTTGAATTGAATTCAAAACTCGAGCGTTTGACTATTTCCGATTCCTTTACAAACTCCCCATTTTATGTGACCTGACATATGAACTTGGCACCTTATTCCTCTGTTCATATTTCAACCAGTGTTCATCAGCTTTTGCTACCAAATTCAGCTGAAGAAACCCATGGCAGACGCAATGACAGAAGATCAAATTTCCCAGTTTCACGAAGCTTTTAGCTTGATTGATAAAGATTCAGATGGTATTTATACCTTAATAATTAGCTTGATTGATAAAGGTTAAGTTTACCGGTTACACTTTTTCCCTTACATCTATGTTGTTGTATTGAAGGATCCATAACCATGGAAGAATTGGCAGTAGTGATCCAGGCATTAGATGTAAACCCTACAAAAGAAGAAGTTCAAGGCATGATTAGTGAGGTTGATGTTCAAGGAAAGGGGACCATCGATTTCGATGATTTCTTAAACATTATGGCAAGAAAAATGAAGGTAATTAAACCAGTTTATTTTCAAGTGTAGGCCATTTCTTTTAGCTTATAAAACGGAGAATGATGCATGTACATAAATCTCACAGGAAAATGTGATCGATGAACTACAAGAAGCTTTCAAAGTATTTGACAGAGATCAAGATGGATTCATATCAGCAAACGAGGTAAAAAAAAAACAACATTCCCATAATTCATTTGAATCTTCATTTAAATTTGAGGAAATTAATGTTTGATAAAATCCCATTTTTGGGCTGCAGTTGAGACAAGTGATGATGAATTTGGGAGAAAGACTAACAATGGAAGAAGCAGAACAGATGATCAGAGAGGCCGACTTAGATGGTGATGGACTAGTCAGCTATGAGGAGTTTGCAAGGGATGATGGCCTTTTGAAAAAACATCTAACTCAAATCGGAATTATTGTTAACTTCCTTTTATTTTTCTTTGTTGGGGAATGGAGATTCTTCTTCTTCTTCTTCCCCTACATCGGCACCTTGTGCCATATACTGCAAATAACTGTAAGCATTGACGAAGAATGAATATACAAATTCCACATATTCACAAACAGTTCAAGCATGGGAATGTAATTTGATATTTAATAATATTTTTATTTTTAAAATTAGATTGTTAATGAATCTAAACGATAACTTAGACTGAATCAAGCGAAATACATATAATATAAAATTTTAAACTGGCGCAATTAACACTGGCGGAGCCAGGGTACAATGAGGGTGTCATATGACGCTCCAAAAATTTTGGAAAATTTTTATATAAAAATATTTAAAAATTAATAAAATTAAAATTTATTATATAATAATATATATATATATATTTATATTACGCTAGGTTAGAAATTTTCCCCACCACAACTCTATAACATATCCAGCTTGTCCACCTAGCCCTGTCTTGCTTTTCCTTTTTAATGTTATAATGAACAAAGAATCAATTCCGCTCACAAAAGCTTCACCCAGACCAGATTAGGGTTCATAACACAACCAGGAGAATATCCAATCGCACAAATGTCGATTTAACATGATTACCCTTGATTGAAAGAAGACTTCAAGCTCTAATCTGATAGCATCCAAGACAACAAATGCCCACCAGAATCACCACTCAACAGCTGCTTCAAGTCATTGCTTAAGTGAAAAGCAGTAAGTGGTTGCTTATGGAACTTCAGGACTTTTTTTAGCACAAATCTGTATTCTGGAGGCTTATCCCAATCTAATCCTCCTGTTCCACTGGTATTTGAAGTAATAATAACATCCTTACTGTCCAAGTGTTCCTGGAAACTGCTGGAGCTGAATTTTCTCTCCAAGTGACTAGCACTACTACCATGTTCCTCTGAACCCAAAAGGAACTTATGTTGCTTCAGATCATCTAAGAGGACTTCCAGCACACCTACTTCTCTTAGGAATTTCTTGTATTGTTGATCAAAGGATAGGAGCTTTACAAAGAAGGAAAGGATGGTGAGCTTTAATTCTGATGCAATTGGTTGCTGCAATAAGCAACATAGAGAAAGCAGCTCTTGCTCAGGAACACAATTCACCACATTCACGGCATATTCAAGAATTTTCAGAATTATCTCCTGCAACGATGGAGGAAATCCAGCCATATTTAAGATCAAGAGAGGAACAGTCAGTTCCTGACACAAGTTATAATTTTCAAGATCACTTGAAAATATTTTGAACATTCTGTTTAACACTTCTGCGTGCAAATCTCTGCTTTCAGCCTTGAGGAAAATGTCCTGCAACATCTGAACAGCTTCAAGGTCTTTATTATTGTCCTGTTCCCATTTTTTATAACCTAGCCTATCACTAGATGATGTTTGACTTATGCTATGGCCGCTGGCCTTGGTGCGAGAATGTTTAGATGTTTTGTTTTCAGCAGGACCTGTTTGAGCTAGGTTAACAAGAATATCAAGTAGCCTAGTCAAAGTGGGTGAGAGATGTTCAGAGGAAGGGTCTTCTTTTCCAACGATATCTATTTTGGGTGCTTCATCAAAAGCATGACCTCTATCGTTGTCAACCTGAGGCTTCATATAAATAGATTGAACACCCTGATTCTGTGGCATCGAAGATACAACTAGAACAAACTTGACAAGGAAGTGATAACCATGGGCATTATGTATATCTTTCCTAAGCCTGACACTGCTGGCCTCTACAAATCGAAGTTGCATGACATCAGCCATAACAAAAACAAGGAAAAATCTCAAATAGCAATCAAAAAAAGAGCAGTTAATAGATTACTTCTTTCAATAGCTAAGAGCCTAAGACCACAGAGCTTACGAAAGTCCAACAATAGACAAAGTTTTCTAAAACAATTCAAGAATAGAAATTCACAAACCAATTACCTGGCCTGTAGGACAATTCCACACATTCAAGTAGCAAGTCCACGATCCCAACAGTGTAGGCAGGGTCCCCACAATTTGGATTAAAATCCTTCACAGCAATTAAAAGGTGATCATCATTTGATTCTAACCGTACAGCTCTAGATAGATTATTTCAAATGATGTTACTCTTGGACCATTGTGCCTAATCATGTTATGTTTATATTCATGCTTAGTCATCAGAATTTTGACTCTATTAGTTACTATTTGAGCCATGTCTCTCCCTTCTTTCAGCCTTGCAGAACAAATTCATTTTGTTTTGAACCGTAAAGCCCCACACCACCCAAAGAAAAGAGAGGGAAAACATAAAAAAACAAAACAAAAGAAGAACAAGAAGAGAAAAAGAGGAGTCTTTATCTCTCCTTATGGCTGCACTTCTTTCATCTTGTTCTTTATTCTTTTCCATCATTGTTTCCTCAGCAGCTATGTGCTCATTTCTTTAGCATTTTCTACAATGGTTATGCTTCCACAAGGGCACAGATCAACATCATGCAGGTTGACTGTAAAATTCTTCCAGGGTGGTCAAATGATATTTTAGTGGAATCTTATTCTGAGAAAATTGATGATCCAAAAATAGTAAATTTTGCTGAAACTTGATGCATCTACCCACAATATATATTAAATTTATTAACTTTGCATTCTTAGTATAACGCTTTTATATTGCAGGCATTCAGAAATTGTATTGGCTAAATACTTTGGAGGGTTGATTTGGAGGTATTAAAACTGTGACTTGGGCAAGACATCTAGTGACACATTCTTCTTTAAAGAATTGGTCCCGCGGTGATATCGAGATTGTAGATTGATGCATACTTCATCACAGAACTTTTCTGTCGCAATCAGTACTTTCACATGTGAGTCATCAACAATTTTATAGAATATAAATAATTACAAACCTTGAATAGTGTAGCATATCTCTGTTATGCTTAGATGCTATATGATTTAGATTACAAAGCTCTTTAGGTTTCCCTATCTGAATGTTCCATTAAGATTGTATAGTTTGCATAAACAGCAGTTTTGGGGGGAAATCTGTCATACATAAACTTGATGAAAATGGTATGCACACTGAGGGGTCTGTTAATTAACTTGAGATAAACACGTTCTTAATTGATCCCTGAATTGAATTGAGGAAAAGCAAGTAAAGGGAGAGCAGTCTTCCTATAAGTTAATCACCCACACACACAATGAAACCGACCTGTCTTATTTTTTGTTTGAAATGCTTATTGAGATTGCCATGATGCTGGGAACTTTCCTTTACGAGTTCATTTTATTAATATTTCTTTGATTTAGATGCCTCTCATAACGGTCTTTAGCTAAGCTTCTGTTAGCTAAACTCTAAAAGTTTCTATGGATGAAAACAAAAAGAAAAATCTTAATGAAAATGGGTTTTTACAGTTAATGGCTGGTTAAAAAGATGTTTTTCACTATAATATATATTTGGATAAAGAAGCCATGCAAGTATCAGCTTCATGTGTTCATTTGTAGTGCAAATGTTAATACCGAGGGAAGAGGGGATTTTACAGCAGATGGTGAAAGGAAAGGAGGAAAAAAGAAAAGAAAAGCATAAAAAAGAGGGCTGGTAATTATTAGGACTGGAAGGGCAAAAGTAAGGTTTGTTAGAGATGAGATTCCTTATGGGAGGTGTCATATGCAAGTGGTATTGAGAGAGGAAAAGGAGAATAGAAGAGAAGCTTTTGGTTTGTCTGATTGTGTACCATAGGGAGAGATTTTAAATTAAAAAAAAAAAGTGGCAGTCTTTTTAGTAGGCAAATGGGATGTATATTGTACCTTAAGCCTGCAACTTTCACATATACTTTCTAAAAGCTTGGGGGATATACCCATAAGCACTGCACTTATACTTTCATTAATCCCAAGGCTCCCTTCCCTTGGCCTTTCTTTCTCTTTTAGAGATGAGATTCTTATGGGAGGTGTCATATGCAAGTGGTATTGAGAGGAAAAGGAGAACAGAAGAGAAGCTTTTGGTTTGTCTGATTGTGTACCATAGGGAGAGATTTTAAATTAAAAAAAAAGTGGCTGAATATTATAACATGGATTATCAGAATCCTTTTTCTTTTAATAGCTGGTTAAAGTTGTTAAAGAGTAATGTGGTATTGAATTCCAGTGATTCCCAAAAAAATGCCTCATAAGCCATTTGATAGCAATAGTTTAACTCAGTTAGGCATTAGTAGTAGTTCAGTTTGAGTTTCATTTGTCAGTGGATTATTAGGTTTTTTTATTAGATTATTATGGTTCTATCATCATACTCAATTATTTGTTCTCAAGTTATGGTAACCATGAATATTCCAATTTGTTCGATAGCACAAGTGTTGTGTAATTCGTTGAAGCGAAGCAAATGGATTAGATTTGTGTGTCATTCAGTCAAAGCAAGTTATATGAACATAATTTAATGAAGGTTAAGCTGGCAGCCAAAAGCTGTAGAAATGGGGACGTGCACAGAAATTGAGAAAGGGTCATCAAGGAAAACAAAAAGGACTGATTGTTGATATAAACTTTCAATGTTTTAGGCAGCATCTTTTTCATAACCGTTGACATTTGTTTCTTCGTTTTGGATTAGTACCACTACTATACAAGAGCCGGACCACCAACACACCAACAGCACAGTCTCACATACAGAGCAGCAATCAACTTGGCAAACCTTTTTCACTCGCCACGCTTACAAAAGGTTTCCACAGCAGCCGCTCCCTACATCTTTACAACAAAAGCTTACAAAAGGTTTTGGATTAGAAATGCTCATGATCGGTTAACACTATTATTTAGTTTAAATAGTCAATTATTCGTTGTAATAATTATTAAATTGTATTAATTGTAATTTAATCATTAAAAATAATTAATTATTAACTATTAGCCGTTATTAACGATTCGGTTATATCAAACACATAACATAACATGAAAGTTTTAAAGTTTCATAAAATTTACGATAGTAGGAAAATATATTTGTAAAAATCTTATTTATTTGCATATGTATTTTTTTATAGAAATAAATATATTATGAGGTATATTCTTTTTTTACAGTTTAAAATCTTACGTGCATATTTATATTTTACAGATTAAAGTAAGACATTTCTTTCATCTATGTTTAATTTAATGTGCTCCAATATAAGATAAACATGATAACAAAAAAATAAAGAGGAATCATTTTGATTTTATTTCTAATTCTATTTTCTCTAAAAAAATATAATTAATTAATTAATTATAATCTTAGTATTAGCAAGGGTGGATGTACTAAGCCCCTTAGGGGTCAAGTGCATCCTCATTATTTTAGAAAATGATTAAATTTAATTTAATGCATAAAGGGAAAAAAGTTTGCATAACCATTATTTTTAAGAAAATAATATTAAAATTTCTAAATCCCATTATTAAATTTCTAGATCTGCCATTAAGTGTTAAATTAACCGTAATTATTAATTAATCTTTGAATATGTGATTATATCGATTAATGATTACAGTTAACAATTACATGTTAATTTAAACATCATAACGAATATTTGTGTGTTATGTATATACAGAATAATTGTGTTGAAGTTTGGTTTGAAAAAAAAAATGAAGTGAATCTCGTTGTGGATTAGTTAACCTTGAACTATGGTGCTGGTGCAATTCAATTATTGTAATGTTTAACTTGGACGTAAACGATGTTCAAATTGGATACCATCTTTTGACTTGGGTTAGTCAAGAGATTCGGGTAATGATCTATTATTTATACAGGCTGCAGGTTGCATTTCAGACTTCATTTTTCTTTCCATCTTTGCCATTGTATCAGCCTTTTGTAACCTCTGGAAGAAGAGGTCACACAACCTGCATTACTAATTAATTTAGTTACTGCTGCTCTGCAATAATAATCAATAGATGGGATACTTAAATTTGGTTCTATTTATTTTATGTTCGATTGGTGTTATAAATTATCCTTGTGGATTCGTACGAGTATTGTGTTGAACCATGGGTATAAGTAATAATTTTAAGGAATAAAAAAAGGAGAGAAAAATGTGGTTTCGCTCTACCTACTGCCCCTCTAATCCTACGTATGTGCTCCCGCTAGCTTAATTATCTCAGCTCTATTGTATTATACATATTTAGTTATACCCAGAATATATATATATATATATATATATATATATATATATATATATATATAATTGTAATAAATTAAGGGTAGAATGGTAATTGCAATGCATGACAAGTATGACAATTTCCATGAAACGTGTAGGGTCGTCATCATTGACAGAGAATAGTCGGCATTATCACATGCATGAAACAGCAAGACTGAAGAATATTCTTTCCCTTTCCATTTTTTTTATTTTTATAATTAATGTATTGATCTATTGACCGATTAATTCAGATCAGATATTACAGAGACGAAGGTAATTCTTCCAACTCAATTTGCTCGTTCACAAACATCAAGAATTGAATCTCTGACCTGCTTAACCTTACCTCCCTTTCCATTCCTTTAATTTGCTCCTTTCTTCTGGTTTATATCCAAATTCCATAATTATATTAGACTGTGTTTCTTATGATCAAAGAAAATATAGAAAGTACAGTCGATATAAATCTTATCTTCGATGTTCTTGCTTTCATACTTAGCAAACATTACACCAGATAAGGGCGTTGTTTTCATTCTGAAAGGGATATCACAAAATTATTATTTTCCCATTTTTGTCAACAACCACCCCAGGCTTCCGAGGCTGGGGAGTAGGGCTCGGCGAATCCAAAACCTTGGGGTTTCAACAGCGGATGGCCTGTCTCAAAGTGCTGCAACTCCACTCCGACAGTGCACGTTAACACATCTCTCGCGTTTATGCTAAAGTTAACATTCCCATTGGAATTGCCACCAGGCCCACCACCATGATGCTCCTGCTGGTGATGGTCTCTAGTCAAACCAAGAAAGTCCCTGGTGAAACAGTCGCTGTTCTTTTGCCACGTGGCCAAGTCTGCTGCCGTGAAACCCGAGAAATCCGGCGATACATGACTCGCCATGCCGTAATGATAATTGTTGTTGTTATTTATCTGCGTGGCGGTGCATGCACCAAGGGTGGTCGCCTTTTGAAGGAGTGCAGTGGCTGACATGGCAGCATTGGAGGGAGGATTGTTGCTCACACGGAGGGTTTGGAGGGGAGACGTGATCAGGACCTTTGGAGGAGGCGGCGGTTCTTGGAAGTATGGCGCGAAATGTTGAGACTCCGGCTTGACATCAAGTCGGTTATTAGGGTTAGGGTTAGAGGTTTGAGTAGGGTCCCATGGGTTAAGAGAAATAGGGTTCTGGAAAGGGAAAGATGGGTTGGGAGTTGGATTTGTGCCGCCGGCGGCGGCAAGTTGGTTGACCGAGAGCCTAGCACTTTCCTCAGCCAATGCATCGCAAAACGCTCTGTGAGTAATGAAGCTATCCTTCCTGTAGGAGGTTTCACAACAAAGCTTACACATCCATTATAGTTAATAATTGCATTAACAACTAACAAGCAATAAATTTGAGGAAATAAATCAAACAGTTGTGAAACAAAGTGAAAGTGATTTTGGGATTTTGACAGAAGACAGGATGCATGTTCTTGTTTCTACATTAAAAAAATAAAAAAAATAGAAAAGGTATAAGCGTACGACCGTGCATGCGCATTGGATAGACTTATGTCATAAAGTTATACAGAAAAAAATAAAGGAGAAAACTACCTTTGTTAGTCAAATATGAAATCTAAGACTAAGAGAGAAGAAATATGCATGGGGGCAGTGATGGGTTAAATTTTCAAGAATATGGTAAAAATCATGATGGAAAGTGTTGGTATTTGAAACTATAGCTCTTCCATGCATGTGTAAACAAAGATGTGCAATTGAAACATAAATCTAATTGATGAGGGCAAGGAAAAAGAAAAAAGCCAAAATCAACAGCAGATATTGTTGCAGATTTCAGTTCTACATCATGATGAGAAAATTCAGAGTTTCAGTGTTTTCTGCAAGTAAATAATGGCATACTACATGAAAATTTTGTCACGGATTTCTCAAACTATGAAATCCCAAAAGCAACAATTAAGCTTTCTTTTGCTTTTTTTTTTCTTTGGGTATTCATCATTATTGTTTAGACTACAGTCTAAACAATTACAAGGTATCAAAGGAGAAATTATTATATAAAATACTATAGATTATAAATGAAAAGAGATAAGAACAAGGCAGCTGGTTAAGATTTCAGAGAGATTGCTTTAGTTTTCCCTAGCAAGGGTTACCCAGTAACAGATCACTTGTATATCGATGATATCCACTTCGATGAAATGAAGACTGGCACTGCATTTAAGTTCCAGATATGTTTCATGCATAAGCTTACCAACTCTTGTGTAAGAGAAACGACTACAAGAAAACAAAAACCTCGGCCCCCATTTAAGCAAGAAAACAAAAACGGCCATAAACACACAAAATACTTCCCACTTGGAAACTATAAAGACCAAGAATTTTATGAATCCTCCAATAACGAGACGACATAGGAAGCTAGAAATAGATTTAAGAAAAGAAATACCTTGAGAAAAGGGTTCCACAATCACATCTATATTCTCTGGTTCCACAGGTCTTAGAATGAGCCTTACAATCTGATTGAACAGCATAGATCTTTGAACATTTCTCACACTTCCATTTCTTCTCACCGTGTTTTCTGCAAAAGTGTTTCTTGATGCCAGTAAGATCACCTAAAGCCCTCGAAGGATGGTGGTGGACGCATGTTGGCTCAGGACAAACATAGGCTTTCTTTTTTACATCTTTGATGTTCCTTTGCTTCAGCTTCCATGGAAGGTTATGGCCTCTTCTGTGAAGCTGGAGGTTCTGATCTCTCTGGAAACCTTTGTTACAGATCTCACATATGAATCTGTTGGTAGCCAATAGCGTCTTTGGAGATAAAGCAATCACTTCAGCATCTGGGTCTGTAATTAGCATCAAACAATTTAAGACAAAATCTAAAAGAAATTTCGAAAGATATAAAAGAACAAAAGTCTTACCGGGGTTCCCAGGTAGGCCTCTCTTCTTCTTAATTTTTTGAGGCAGCTGCTGAGGAGAAAGGGTTGAAACAATAGGATTTAAGCCAGAACAAACACTAGCTTCATCAGACAAAGAAGTGGAATTGGACATAGTTGGAGGAAACATCATGCCTGAGAAAGAAGAAAACTCCAAGAAAGAAAAACAAGAAGGAAACCCCAGAAGACTAGTCCGATGCCCCTCTTTTTGTTTTATCTGATATAAGTTGTTTCAAAAAGTGACCACTTTGCACCTTTGAAAGAAACAACCAAGACAGTCCAAAAGAGAACCGCAAAGGGTCGGTCATAATATAGAATAGAATCCCCTAGCTCTGGACACAAACTAAACACATACAGCTTGTTAATGAACAGGTGGCAGTGACATGTACATACAGAAAGACATCATTCATTGGGGGGCAAAAGCACAATCTCGTGAAGATGATGATGGGTTATTCTCCAAGCCGCTATCTAGCCATGGATTGCTCTGAACAACCTGCCAACGCAATCCATATTACATATATATATAATAATATATATCTATCTATTTCTTAGCAAACCAACCAGAGCTGAGAATTGCTCTCACAATGCAATCAAAACATGAGGAAATACAAACAATAAATGGGTTTCTTTTCTCTCTAATTACATCTACTGCTCAATATCCCTCCCCTTTCTATCCATTTATGTGTATATAAAGACTCACAGATGTATAGACCGAGAGAGAGTAAAAAAGAGAGTTTCAGTAGTAGGGTAGAGTGCAGAAGGTGATGATTAAAGTGGCAGACTAAGAAGAGATTAGAGAAGGGTTGGTAAAATTAGATAATTAAATTTCCAGGGAAGGAAAAGTAAGCCAAAGCGAAATTAAAAAAGGTTTAGAATTCTACTAAGGGAAAAGAGAAGAGGCAGCTCAAAGCAAGAACTGGAAGTACCTCTTACACCACTTGGTTTCAGATACTTTTTGGTAATAAAATTATCTCCATTATTATTTTAATGCTAATACTTTTGTCTTGTGAACTCAGACGTTGGCACTTTCTGTCTTTTCCTTTGTTCCTGTTATAAAACACCCAAACCCTAAAAGGAATGTTATATTAAAGATAAGGATTAATTTTGAATACTGCTAGATCAATTAGAATATAAATCATAAACTTAAAAAGCTTTGAGGGGGTGTTAAAATCCAGTGGCGGATTCATCCAAAAATTTAAATTTTATTCGATTAATTATTTATTTTATTGATTATGCCCACCAATACGAAAATTTTGTATTACTAATATATGTGTATCTACTTTCAAAATACAATTACTAAAGGCAAAGGGCTATTTTGAGGTCTATCCCTTTCCCTCGACAGTTTCAACATTTTTTCTCATACCCCACAATTAACATGATTGACTCTTATCGGCTTGTTAACCAGACACTAAATTATTTGATAATGTAAAAGCAAACTCATATTTTCCAATACATTATTTGATGGTTTTTACTTGTACAACAAATATTTTTGGCTTATGTTACTAAACCTTTTAGAACATTTTTACTTGTATAAATATTGAAGCTAGATCTCTTGTTGCATCATGTCCACATTGATACTCAAAAATTGTAAACTTTAATGAATATCTTTCACAATGTATGTGTTTGATATAAAGTGTTCAAGCAAACCCCACCAATGGGAATTTGAAAGGCCTTTCTTCTTCTTCTTTCTTTACAAAACTTTAGTTATTCCAAACCTAAATGTAAAGCATGCGAATATAGCATCAAATTGGTCAGATATTCCATCACCTTTCATTTTGCTTTAATGGATATATAGCACGTAAAATGTAAGGGGGATTCTCTTTCTTGGAGGTCTTGCCCCGGCTAAACATGGCAGTGGCAGCTGATCTTTGATCCCAACAATGAGGAAGAAACAGAGGAGCAAACCCATGCAAACAAGTCCCCCCCAAAGGGCATATATCCATTGGTCAGCGAAGAGGAAGCCTGATTTGTCAGACTCGTTAAAAGGTGTTGTAGTGGTAGAATACAAAGTTGAAATAGTGTGGTCTTTGATCTAATATGTTAGTCTGCTAGACTTTTTGCAACCCGATCTTATTTTTTCTTTTTCAATATTGACTACAAACAAGTGCCTAAAACCACCAATGCTCAAAGTTGGGATTTTCTTCTTTCTTTTAATAGGGGAAAAATCTAAGAATTAGGGTATAGATAAGTATGAACTCAAAATTTTATGTCAAGCGGATGAATTTATAAAATTTTAAATAGAAAATTTATAAAATTTTAGAGAATGATAACATATTTTTAATAAAAAAATAAAAAATTAAAATATGTAATAATTTAAAATTTTTAAGGGATGACTTCATTAGGTCCATCCCTCGGTCCAGGATGGCCTCCAAAGAACACAAATAAGAGATTGTTTTTGAGTTTTCCAACCTATTCAATGACTCATGCAGAGCTATAGTCTTTTTTTCTTTTGGCTATTCAAAATTATATTTTTATTCTGATTTACTATTATAAATACAAACAAACATATACTGCTCTGTTTTGGATGTGTAGAACTGAGAATTGCAAAGGCTACCAAGTGGGGAGTCCATTCCCTTATTCACGGGTTCTTCTATTACCAGATTCTCTCGTGCAGTTTTGCCTCACTTGCCCCGCAAGTGCACAAAAGGGTGTTTTTTTTTCCCTTCTTCCCCTCTTCTCCTATTGGTGGGCCAAATTTTAGGGTTTATCTCTCTGTTGATGTCCTCTTATGATTTGATTTTTTATATCATTAAATCGAGGAGAGAATATATTCAAATTTAAAATCTCTAAAAATATCAATAAAATTAAGAGTGGATAGGTAATTGGAACTATTTTATTTTAGTATTTAATAACCTCAATCATGGTTAGGGTTAAGGCACATAGTGGTAATGTTGGGTTGGAGTGCAATAATAGGCTTGTTCGATGAAAAGGTGTTCCAAAGCTGACCCTCGTAGGACTAGGCTTTTTGCATGGCGGAGAGCGTGGGCCAGAGCTAAGCTCAACTCGGACTGCAAGCGGAGAGCGGGTACCAAAGGTTGGGCCCACGACGTTTAAGTATTATGAATTGAGTCGGGTTTCTCACGAGAAAGCTAAAGAAATTATTTAGTCATTTTTCTCGTACATCACCCTTTATATATATATATTATAGTCTCACATTTTTAACTTTAAAATTTATCTTTATTTAATTTAATTTTTTATTTTATTTAACATATAAAAAAGAAAAAGAAAAAAATACAGATAAATGAACATAAACGATATTAATAAAAGAATCAATAACGAGTTTGTTTATAGATATAAACAAATCGAAAACATATTTATTCATGTTTAGTCATTTATTAATTAAACATATAAAATTTATTTATACTCATTTACGTAATTTAAGGAACTAACATATACAAATGCAATACATAAAATTCATAAATTATTCATCTAACATTGTATTTATTTACATTCCTATTTCTGCTGGCAATTCACTAAGTCACGACTCACGAGTGTCTTCGACGGGACCCCAACCTTTGTATTGGGGTAAGGTGAAAATGAGTTCATTTTCAACTGTGTAAAAGAATAGTAAAACTAAATACTGATGGGGGCTTGCCAAGGAAATCCTGGTGTTGCCCGTGTAGGTGGATTATTTCGAAGTGAAGCAGACGCATGGATTCTAGGCTTTGCGGCTCATCTAGGAGTCTGTTCCAGTGTGGCAGCTGAGTTATATGCTATCCGATTTGGCCTATCTCTTGCTTGAAAGTTTGGGTTCAATTATATTGTTTGTGAAATCGACGCCAAAGTAGTCCATCAACTCATCGAAGAAGGTGAGACTTCGCTGCACCCCTTGGGTAGTTTAATCGAAGATATTAAACGTTTCAAAAACTGTAATTGGATTCTACGTTTCCAACATACTTATAGAGAAGGGAACTTTTGTGCCGATGCTTTATCCAAAATGGGTTGTTTCCTAGATGAAGAGTTTATGCTGTAGGGTGACATGACTTGAGCTCGGATACAAGCGAAAATCATGAGCTCAAGTCATGGCCGTTATGTTTTTGCTGTTTATTGGAAGAAGCTGTTGTTTTCAAGTTATAGGCAATTTTCAGAATAGAATTTCGAAACCAATGGCTAAAAATATAAGAACATTAATGGGAGGCGGTAACATTGATTGGTAACCGACATATCCGCCTCTGCGCAATTTCCAGCCACAAAAATGAGGACAACTACGCTTGTCACTTCTGATCATGTTGTTCGCTCTGCAAATCTCAACTTTAGAAGAAACAGACAACAGCCACACCATTAAAAAAAATCCTCAGGTGGAATTCGTCAGCTGGAAGACGACAGTAAACACAAGACTAGCAAGAAACAAGCAACGTGACCATTTGTTTGTTTTTTGCAGACACGTACGTACATTACCGGTTGAGAGCTTTGTAAATTGCGGAAAACATTTGAAAGCAACAAATGAGAGAATCCAATTGCCATGTCCATCAAAATATCTTCCTTGGTACAAATGCCAAGACTCAAGACACCATGATCTTCAATTATCACCTACCACTACTCTTAAATACATTAAACGGACAAAAGAAAAGTTCAATAGAAACTACCAAGTGATCATTGGCTGTGTTTTCTTGCAACTTGCTGCTACATTTTGTCGTTTTTCAACTGCTTCAGGAAGAACAATCTACACTCATTCAAGGTCCTCCATTTTATTTTATTTTATTTTATTAACTTTTACCCCTCGAAAGACACCTTTTGAAAGGAAAAAAAGGGTTTCTTTCAAGGGGTAAAAGAAAAAAAAATCAAGAACCTTGAAACAAGTCATGACGATGACCACCACAGATTCTGATCTACAGCTGCAATCCCAACCATAGACGGAGACAGATAAGATGAAAAATTAAAAACGATAAAACAAGGTTAGAAACACCAGTGACAAGAAGAGAGATCTTCCACTGATACAGCTCTAAGCAATCCCCCCTAGCCTGTCAAAAACAAGAAAGCATTAAAGCAATGTGAAGATTATGGTCTAATCTATTTGTTTGAAGACTCATTTGCAGAAATATTAGAGATATGAAAACGTGCTGGATGTAGCTATGATATGGAATCTAGATGTTCATTTTCTGTACTTTGGACTTGAACCCAAATAACCCAAACGGTCAGCCAACACTTTCACATCTTCATCTTCGCTTCCTGGTATATCCAACTCTCCTTCAAATCTCTCATTCAATAATTCTTCCCAAAATCCTTCATCGAGTTCGTTGTCATGACTCTCTCGATGTTCGACCTCATCTTGAGTTTGTTCTTGCTCCTTTCTTGCTCTACCATAGCCTTGGATTTCCAGTGCAAGCGCTTCCAATTCTGTTACATGATACCCATAATCACCATATTCTAAAGGTTCAGTTTTAACAGGATCCATTCCACCGCTACTTCGACTAGATTCACCTACATCAACAACACCGGGTCGTTGATCAATCGGCCGCCTCCTTTTCCTAGATATGGCTTCTTCAAGCTCCTTTCTTTTCTCATTTTGTTGCATTAGCTGCTGGAGAAAAGCCGGATTCTGCATCGCTCTAGCCAAGAAAGACATCATTTGCTGCTGTTTCTTTTCTGTGGTTTGCAGCCTTTCTTCCGTGGCCTGAAGATAGGCTCGAGTTTTCAGTTGCTGCTGTCTTAGCTTCACCAATTCCATCATTAGAACCTGTTTATCACGCTTCAAACGGTTGACTTCTCCTTCTAGTCCAAACCTGCCAACTTCAACACAAGGACCGAGCGCTTCTTGAGAAGGTGGGGGCTGAGATGGGGTCTTTCTTCTCCGAATGCTCTTTAGAAGATCCTTTTGGCCCCTGAGAAACCCTTCATTCTTAAACTCCCATTTGTCTGGATCAATCTTTCTGAAACCCTGCAGGAGAATGAAAATTTCAAAACTTTAGAAAGAAAGACTGAAAGCTTGTTTTTTCAATTTCATTGATGATGGAGACGGACTAAGCAATATTCTTCTATTTACGAGTTTTCCATCCAAGAATCGTTGAACAAGGTCCCACTACCAGAAAGAACCACCGGGACACCAAGTGAAACTGACCAGAAAGCCTTCAAAGAACATTCTAGCAAAATAGGCATTCAAGAAATAACTCGAACAGAATTGTTTCATGGAGTCATGTGGGATTACAGATAATCGAAGAACAATCTCAAGAATTAATTAAACAAACATATTATGAGGGCATTTCTTCATAGCATCTAATAAAAACGAAGATAAAGAAGATAACGATTTGTGAAAAATCAATGTAAAACAAGTGAACAACTAATTTTGCTCCAAACCGTGTATGCAGATATGGAGTAAACTAGCATAAAATGAAAAAACAAAAAAGCTGAAACAGTGAATTTTGGAAGAACAAATCCCCAGAAGAACATTTTGAAACAGAAATTTTGAAATTTAAAAATAGAAATCAAGGGCTAAGAGCACTTACATAAGTATTGAGCTGCCTAACAAAACTAGAAAAATTATTGTGCTTGAAATATCTAGGGAGCAAATTAGTGGAGAAAAGGTGAGGATCGCATACAATAAAGCTGCTACCTCCTCTGCTCCAAGAAACTATGTGGTTGGTACCGGGGTCATCCACCATGTCAAAGGTCTTGGTAAGGAATGCCGGCGGCCCTGCATCGTGAAGACCCTCTATCTGCTGCGGCGGCCTCACCATCACTGGCGCATCATCTTCGGACCGTGAATAAATTGAACTCGGGTACTCTTCCTTTACCCGAAAATATGGATTCATGGTTCAAAAACTCTGCTTTTCTCCTTCAAATGTTACGAATTGATATAGTAATTCTTAATTTAATTTCTTCCTTTGACGACTCCTGAGTTTATTGCTGAAGATTCGTTTCGATCAAACGCAGAGTTGCCGAAAGGAAGATCAAAACTGGGAACAAAAGAATGGGAATTTCGGAACAGGGGATGACGCTTCAGGGAGAAAAATTTGAAGATGAACACGAAAACAAACAAGAGAAATATAAGTTGAGAATGAAACAAAAAGAAATGGAAAAAAAGGGCAAAACGCTTTGCTGGGGAGAATCCTTTTTGGGAAGGTAGTTTTTGCCGTTATAGTCGAGTGTGGTAGTCATATAAGGAAAAGATGGCCAGTGGAGGTGTGTTTAAAATAGATATAATAAAGATAGGAGTTTAAATTTTAATATTCTCAACCGAGTAAATTAAATCAAAAGAATTATTTTTATAATAAGTTATGTTATATCGTTGAGGTGATTTTTGAAAATTATAATTTTTTTAAGATAAAATCTTTGAAATATTTGTATTAAACAAAATTTTTAAAAAAATTTATATCTTCTAAATCAACTATAATGTATAGAAAAGATCCTTAACAAACCCATATAATCTATCATCATAAGATTTAGGATTTTACGATTAGATTTATTTAATCTGCTTATTTACTAGTAACTATAATGATCATATGACTAGCTCTATCACGTTGAATTATTATAATTACCCCCAAATCACCCTTTACTATTTTTCATTCTTTCATTTCATTATTATTTCTTTTTATACATCCGTTTCTCTTATCAAAAATATCTATTAATAACTTTTTCAATTGTGACTCTCTGCTCATATTAAAAGGAGTGAATCATGAACGGTCAGTCAGATCAACTTATTCTCATTCACATATTATTATAATATTTTAAAATAATTTGTAAAAAAATTAAATAATAAAAGATTATTAGGAAAACATATGAAAGTTCTAGAACCTTTTATTTTAATTTACTTAAAATGACTAAAATTAATTTATCTATTAAAAAAAGAATTTGGGGAAGCAAAATAGGGATGTTGTGTGGTCAGTGGAATGTTCCGGAACTTCAAGGCTGAGGGAATGGTGCGACTAATATTTTTATACAATTTGTAATTTTAGTGATTAAAAATTAATTTATCCATTAAAATTGCCATACAAAACAATAACAATGAATAACAGAAGCTCAGCTCGGACCCCCAAGACTAAACAAACAAATAAACTAACAAGTAACAAAGCAACATGAATCAAGTGGGGAACGGGACTGAAAGAAACTTAACCACCAGCAAGCAATTTGTTTCCACCTCTACATGACGAAAAGAAGCCAACGCACAGCACAAAGAACAACCCTCGCCTCCATGAAAGTAATATCTAGTCAGCAAGATGGAGTGAAATCGCATAACCAAGTTCAGGTAGCACCCAAGACACCATGAGCATCGCGCACAACAGCCCCAAAATCAACTCTCGCCTCGTCCTTTGCCAACAACAGCATCAACATTTAGCTTAACAGAACCCTCGGTAGACGAGTGCAGGTGAATTCCAAGGATAGTTACAGAAAGCTAGTGTTCTAAGCTTTAAATCCATGATACTAATTTGTGGATTCAAGCAAGATAAAGGAACCCTAAACCCTAAATTGAAGTCTAGGATAAAACATATTAGTTTCCATCTTTGATTATGATTTTTAGCGATGTATGTGTTGATGAGATGTATGATTTTTCTTCCAGCTTAAGAAGTTTTGGTAGGATGCTCCAAGATTAAGGGAAAAGTTAAATTAATCGAGTAATTCGTCAATTCGAGAAATATCCTAAACTCGAATTAGGTGTGTAGACAAGATCAAATCTGACAATATATTTTAGTATATATGTGTTGTTTGATGTGTTCGGTTTAGATTGTTAAATTGAATATTCGGTTTTAAAACCAATCTATTGGATAACATGAACCATGCTAAGGATGTCATGTGTTTTGATATGCATTTTTATGATTAAGCATTCTAAGGTATGCATTTGTTAAATGATAATTGACATTGATGCATGAATGTGATGATTGGCCATGCTTGAAGCGTAAAACCAAGCTAAATGCTCCATTGCATATTGATAATGAGTTATATGTTAATTTAATAATATAAATGACAATTCTTCGATATTCAATAATGTACTAAAACGAGTCATTGGTTATTATTTTAGTTCTTGATACAATTGAAATGTCATAGGATTCATAACGTTTGTGTACGAGTTATTTAAAGACTTCATTCTTGATGAGGTGAAGGAATGTTGATTATTAGGACTGTAGGTCTCGAAGAGACGAGGGATGACTATTGTATTTATATCATATCAATATTTGACGAGAAAATGAGATCCATTGTTATTAAACCAATCTAGCTATATAAACAATTGCTTTGTTGTGATCATGTATAGTCTTTATATATGACTGATGTCATGTATTGCTATGAATTATCAAATGAATACTATGCTTGCTTTAATCAAGTTATTCACATGATGCCTGTATGAAATTTGTATTGGATAATGGTTGCTTAAAATTTCATTTCTGTATGATTAAGTATGTTGAATATGAAAAGTTGAAATTATCCCTATGCTTGTTTAGTCGTTTTCGTGAAACTTTTTATATATTCCTAGTCTATCGACTATCATCGGTTAATGATAATGTATGTTCCTTCGTTGTATGTTTCTGTTGTTCTAATGAATGAATTTTTTTGCTTAATCATGTTAAAAAATAACTTCTAAATAAGAATCTATATTGAATCACTTTGATGATTAATGTGACATTTGATATTTAGATCGAATCATCCTAATCGAATATAGTGTTACATAGTCGTCAGGAGCACAGACATCCTCACAACCACATGTCAAAAATGTTGTAGGAATAAACTTATAAATGGAGGATGGATAATCTGGACTTCAAGGTTAAAGAAAACATGTTCCCAAAGCGATAACAAGCCCCCTGAAGATCCCGAAGACGAAAAGAAAGCCACCTTAGCAGCCTTAGGGGTCCAGACCTTTTGAAGTAGCCTAAGATCCAAGGTTGGAAGTTTGGTTTCCTGAACTTAAAGCATGCAAGCTTTACACCTATTCGCATGCCTTATCAATCCCACTTCTTTTCCAGCTTGCCTAGCCCCCTTACATTCCAAGATACTATACAACAGGAATTCATGAGACAAAATAAAAACAAAAGCATATTCAACCCTGAACTAAGCCAGGCCTCCATGGCTCATACACCCCCAGTTCCAGGAAGCGATTAACTACAGTTTGTATACATATACTCTCCTTCACTTTTAGGAACATTATTATGGAAATGAATGTCGAACTCTGATATGAAAAGTCCAGAAGTAGAGAGATCTATACCTCTGACAACCTAGGCCAGAACTAGTTCAGTTTCTATTTGTGCAAGGTACCTCCTCATTGTTTGATGAGCGTGTTGAAATGCTACCTTCTTGTTCATAGAATAAAAAGAAAAGTTCAAGACTTTGATATAAGATGTATTCAAATTATATTTTCCTTTCATTTTCCATCCCTCCAATTACTAATAACACTTACCATTGCCTTTGATATTTCTGGTGTTTTAAGAAAGGCCGAATGTGTAGTTGCTAACAAAATCAAATTTAGATTTTCAATCTCACCCCCCTCCCCAATATATTACAAGAAATTATTATATTAAATCACTAAAATTATAATTGGGGATGTATTTCAAATGGTGGAGCACTTGCTTTTGCATGTGAGAGGTATAGGTTTCGATTCCCTGCATCTCCACCTACTTAATCACTTTTCCAGGTAAGAACTTATAGTCTTATAGAAGCCATGAAGCTACAGCACTGTCTTGCTGTTTATACGCCAGAAATTATGGATTTACAACTTCATTACCTTCTTCATCATAAACATATTGACAAGGAATAACAATCGTACCATCTCTATGATGCAAGACTACCACCAATAGAAAGTAAGACCTGCTGCCTCCACAACAACAAAAAAGTGTTCCATCTAGCCTAATAATAGCAACGGTTTTATTAGTAAAGGCTTGAAGAAAAAAAGTACCAACACCTGATCCATTTATATCATCTAAAGTTGCAGCCATCACAAAGAGAAAAAAAAAATAGTAGAAGCGCCTACCGTATTCGTTGCTTTGGATTCTCGGGAGGAACCATGATCATGTCATTAATTATGCAAGAAAGAAAGAACAAGAAGCATAAAATGTATAATATCATAATACTTTTCCATTAGAACATACAAAACACATTTATCTAAAAGAAAAGCTTCATAATAACATACACAATTAACATAATTACAGGTCTTTAACATATTATAACAGAATAACTATTCTCTAATCATCTTCTAATCTCTTCTAGTCCCTTGACAGACTAGGCTTATATATTTAATGCTTAAATATCGTTTGCTTTTTTGAAAACGAGTTGTGAGGTAAACAAGGTAAAAATGGTTTGCTTTGTCATCATCACAAACAAGTCGGGCCTAGCTAGCAGCAGCAACAACAGAATTAGAAGGGAGTTCTGTACACCTGATCGACCATGAATCCTTTCTCTCTTTTTTCCCCTCACCATTGACCTTGTAATCATCATCTACAAAACCCACTATTCGGGACCAACCCACGTGTTAGGTATACGCAGCGATAATGACAGGACTGAGCCATCCTTGTAGCGGGCAGCAGAGAATTCAACCACAAATGGTGGTCGGTACTATATCAGCCTCTCCCAAAGGCCAAGTTCCCCACCACGATGCTGCTGGCTGCTACAGCAACACAGAGATATTGCAGCATTAATAATAGGATGCCCAAAATATAATGACAAATACCTTTTGGTTGAAGGCATTATATGTTGCGTGCTTGCATCATACTTTTTTTTGGAGTCAACTTCAAAATGGTGTTCTGCATTTAGTTTATAAATAGGGTAAACTACATGTATAGCACCTATATTATTACCTTTATTCCCTTATTGTTCTCAAACTTTATTTTTTTAAAATCGCAACTAACGTTTAGCTTAAGTTTCAAT